TCTACCAAAAAGATACCTGCACATGTAAGTTCATTATAGCACTATTCACAATAGCAAAAGCATGGAACCAACCCAGATGCCCATCGAAAATGGATTGGATAAGAAAACGTGGTGCATATACATGATGGAATACTACAAAGTCATAAAGAAGAACAAAATCATGTCCTTTGTAGCAATATGGATGCAGCTGAAGACCATCATTCTAAGTGAACCAGCACAGAAATAAAAAACTGAATATTTTATTTGTACCCCCCAAAGCTATTAAAATAAAAAACATATAAATTTTTAAAAACCCACTGATGAGTGGGTCCTGATAACTGGACCCATGAGCACAAAAGTGTCAACAGACACTGGACGCTGGTAAAAGAGGGAGAGAAGGAGAGATAAGGGGCACACAACCACACACTGGGTACCAGGTTGACTACACCAAGGGGAAAGAGGGCTCACTAGAAGCGCAAACCTCAACTGCAGGCAATGTATGTACGTAGCAAATCCTCACATGTACCCTACAACTCAATAAAATAAAATAAAAAAGAGTTGGCATTGTCAGCTCTTCTGGTTGGTATGCAATGGAATCTTGTTGTGGTTTTAATTTTTATTTCCGAGACTACTAATGCTGTGAGTATTTTTCTATGTGTTTATTGGCCATTGGTAAATCTTCATTTATGAAGTATCCAAATCTCTTGCCCCTTTAAAAAATTGGATCATCTTATTAATAAATCTGATTTTTAATATTTAAAACTCAGGCTGGGTGTGGTGGCTCACACCTGTAATCCTAGAATATAGGGAAGCCAAAGTAGGAGAAATGCTTGAACCCAGGTGTTTAAAACCAACCTAGGCAACATTGCAAGACCGTGGCTGTACAAAAAATAAAAAATTCAGTTTGGTGTAGTGGTACACACCTGTAGTCCCAGGTCCTCAGGAGGCTGAGATGGATGGATCGCCTGAGCCCAGGAGACTGAGGCTGCTGTGAGCCACGATCATTCCACTGCACTCCAGCCTGGGTGACAGATTGACACCCTGACTCAAAATAAATAAATAAATAAACAAATAAATAAATGTGAGAAATGGGATGAATTGTGTGCATGGTAGTTCCAACATCTTGACAAGAATTTCAAAAAATTACATGCCAATAATTGTTTTATTAATATACTTTATTTAGTTTAAAGACTAATTATTTTATTTAGTTAAAGAATGAGTTAGAATGCTAAAAAGACAGAAAGTATAAGAAAAGACAAGTTAAATGATAACCAAAATGAATTAAAATAGCTATTTTCTCATAGTAAAAATTTTGTGTACGTATTTAAGTAAAATGGCAAAAACAAAGCTCTATTAACAAGCAAAATATGAATAAGCAACTTTTTCAAGTATTTATTTCATGGCCCTTCTCTGTCTCTTGCCATTCATTATTGATAACGCCTTTCTAAAAGGCACTAATAATTATTTTGTTTAATATTTTGTTTAAAGCAGATAAGATGACAGCTTAATTTTCTTTTCTTTTCTTTCTGATACAGAGCTTTGTTTTGCCCAGGCTGGAGTGCAATTGCATGATCATAGCTCCCCCAGGCTCAATGATACCCCTGCATCAGCCTCCCTTATAACTGAGACTACAGGTATACACCACCAGGAAGGTCTAAGTTTTCTTAATTTTTGCAGAAACCAGGTCTCACTAGGTTGCCCATTAACTTCTGGCCTCAAGTGATTGGCTCGTCTGCCAAAGCACTGGGATTACAGGTGTGAGCCACCGTGCCCAACCCTAAAATTTTGTTTTCTAAACCAGTGGCTCTCAACCCTGGCCCTTGTCCAGGCTGTTTGGCCAAATCCAGTTTCCAGTCTGCTTTTGTTCAGCTAGCAAACTAAGAATGGCTTTTACAATTTTACAGTTGTTATGATAAATATATATATTCTCCCACAAAGCCTAGAAGATGTGCTATCTGGCCCTTTACAGAAAATGTTTGCCAGCCCAACTTAACTTCTCTGTTCTTTACTGACATTTTTGTGTCATAAAGAGAGTAAAGTATATAAAACTGTTCACCTTCACTTCAAATGACATTGGTGATACTTTTTAGTCTGTTTTCTGGTTTAATTTTATGACTTCTTCCATGTTGCCTTCAAAAACTTCCCCCAGTCAATGCTCCCTGCAGCAACACATGGTTCTCCCTACTTGTCTGTTTTCCAACTCTTGTCAGCTATAGGCTCAAAAGTTATATAACCAAGCTTAACTCTGGATGAGGCTATCAACAAATAAATTTTGAGTTTTAGTACCTCAACATTTTATCAACTCGGGTATCTTTTTTAAAGAAGCTAAGTTAATTCTGATGTCTAGATATCACTTAATTATACTACTTTACATGTAATATAAATCTAGATTCATTTTTAGCTAAGGCTTGCAATTTTTCTATTTTGCCTATGTAAGGGTTTTAAAATAGGTTATTTTCTCTTATCTCCCCTCATAACTACCTTAGTCCACATTGACCCAAAATGCTCTTCAGAAAATCACTTTCCATAACTGTCAGCTTTTGAGGTTTCTCAATTTCAGAATTTCTCAGTGGAACTGGATTATCATTTACAGTTTTGCTGTTCTGTTTGTTGACATAAAGGACAAAGCTAAAACGTTGTGGTAGTATTAGTCAAAAATATCTCTCCAATATGAAAAAGCAGTTTTCTCAGATTGTTTGCTTTAAAATATACAAAGGTCTGTGAGAAGTCAGTGATTGTTCTACCAGTGTTGGTTGAAAACAGCTTAACACAGGTGACACTTGGAAGGCTTAAGGATATATAGTTTAGGAGGCAATAAAGTTAAAAAGCAATATGAGTCAAACAGCCTGGATGGACATTTGTGATTTGGTTTCATAGTACTGAAAATGACCTTTTGCTATTATACCTGACTGGCTCTTAGGCCATGTGGTTTGGGAGGAGCCGATCCTATCAGCATAGAGGAGTTAGGAAAGCTGACGTTGAGACAGCTGTCTTGAGAGACGCACTTCTGAGGTTGACCCTTGGCTGGCATTTGGAAATTCAGATTTCAGAAAGGTTCCCACCATTCCCTAGCTGGGTGGCCAAACTGTACAAACAATGTGGTTTATGCTGAACACCCACTTTCCCTCTAGGAGTCTGGAATTTGGTATATGGTCAGGGAAAGAGCCCAAGTAAACAAGTTCCCAGTAAAAACTGGAACTTCATTGGTCAACAAGAGAAAATTAGAAGTCAGATTAACAGGTCCATTAAGAAGTGAATATATTTCTCATTGGAAGTTAAGAAGTAAATTAAGGAGGATGGAGCATTCAACAATTAAATATTACAAAAATGTTAAGGAGTATGACTTAATAAGAAGTTGCCAAATCTGGATTAAGTAACTCTCTGATCTTTAATATTGATAGAGATGGGTAAGTAAAATTATTAAAACATAACTTCCTTAATGTAAGTTTTAAGTATCTAGGGCATATAATCAACATCAACACTTTCACTAATATAGGGTGGCATTTATTTTAATATGCTGTTTCTATTTGGACACTAAGTTTTTCTAAGCTTAACAGGAGTAACCACCACTTAGTTCAATAAAAACCCAACATTAAAAGATTGTTACTTTTTAAGAAATTTAATTGACAACAATGGATCATTCTGAATTAAGTTAACTTTAAAATATCACACAGAGTTCATGAGACAAAGGTATAACTGCTAAAAGCGTAACTTTTTAAATTGTCTTCTACTTATCCTGCTCATTCATTTAATCAACAATAACACACTGACGTCCTCTACCACGTTCCATCACTGCTGTAAGTATTACAATTCCAGATTTCTGAGACTTTCTTCCCTGATTCTAAAACTCAAGTTCCTTCGATCTACATTCTTGTTTTCTGAAGTAAAGTGCTGTGCTGTGCTATGCTTCCCAGAACCCCACTCAGGATTGAAGGAATTCTGAACCCCAGCTGCTGGGGAAATTATCAGCTGACTACGTATAAGCCTACTCCAGGAATTGCTCTGCTGCTTTGCCCAAGGTCATGGTCCCTTTGCAGGGCAGGTCATAACCAATGGCTAGTTGCCTCAGGACAATTCTGAAGGGCCATCTCACCTTCAGAGCTTCCCAAAAGTCTAGCTGAGGCCTTGTGGAAACCGCACCATAGCCTAACATCTCCCTCTGTCCAGCCGTTTCCTTCGCCTGCCTGACAGGTGTTGATCCCAAGAGCACTCCCAAATTTACTTCCTGCCCATGAGTCTCCATCTCAAAGTCTGCATCCCAGGCACCTCAAACTGTGATAACCACCCACACTTGTTTTCCTAAGTTGTGCCACATGACGGAGATCTACTCCATCCCTGACCTTAACATCTCACTTGTCACTCAATCTTTGCAGTCAATCATCAAAAGGCCATTTCCTAGTATACTTTACTGGAGCTAAATGTCAGGAAAAATAATGCTGTCATAGTACTTAATGTGACCATCTTTATGATTTAAGACTGATTGTGTAAGAAAGCTATACTTAGTATATTTACAAACATTACATGAAAGTAAAGAATTTCCAGCAAAGGCAAAGAGGAAGAAAACTATTTATGCACACAGACTTTTTCTCTTGCTTTAAAGCAGAATACTATTATAGCAAAGTTTGAAAAATGAGCACATATATGAAAATTCATGTTAAAACAAGGGTATCAGTTGGGCATGGTAGCTCAAGCCTGTAATCTCAGCACTTTGGGAGGCTGAGGTGAGAGGATTGCCTGAGCTCAGGGTTTCGAGACGAGCTTGGGCAACTTGATGAAACCTTGTCTCTACAAAATATCAAAAATTTAGCTGGGCATGGTAGCATGTGCCTGTAGTTCCGGCTACTTGGAAGGCTGAGGTAGACGGATCACCTGAGTTTAGCGGGTCGATGCTGGGGTGGCCGTGAGTGTGCCACTGCACTCTGGCCTGGGTGACAGAGTGAGACTCTGATTCAAAAACAAAACAAAACAAAACAAACTGGGGTACCAACAAATTCAGAAACAGAAAATAAAGAAACAAAGTGTAAAAGGTATGAAAGTGGTTTTTATTCATTTAATTTTCCTTTCAACTTATAAATGCTATCCCAAATGCTAAAGAAACTGGACTTGGGTGAAATTTTTTATTATGAAGATATAGATCTAAGAGCAGAACAATAACTATGTGCTAGTTTATATATAATTTGTAAAAATAACGAGACATAGTTTATATATAATTTGTAAAAATAACGAGACATGAAAAATTAGTAGAAAATGAAAATCTGAAAATGTATCTGAAATCTGAAAATGTTAAGCAATTTTCCTGGCATCTTAGTTTTGATCACTTCCGCAGACTAATCAAGCATATCTGCGGGTGGAGACAGTATTTAATTATTCTATTTTTATTAGCAGTGCAGTGTGCCCTTCAGAGCTTGGCGTAGTCTTTAAGGATCATCTGAAGCTTCTGGCTCAGCATGATGTTGCCTCTGGCCTTCAGTCGGCCACTGAAGAATGCCTGGAAAGGAGAAGAGAGGAAACAAGTGCCAACCCTTACCATGTTACATTTTATTTCTTTTTTAAAAAGTTGATTGATTGCTCAGGCTGAATGCAACTGAGTTAATAATTCTGGACAACAAAGGCAACTTTTATCTAACAATGATAACTTAATGACTATGGATAGCACATATATTTTTAGATATCTAAGAAGAGGAAAAAAAGACAATGCCTGTGTATCTTAGAAAACCACAGAATAATTTACCTTAACTGACAGACCTGAGAGTTCTGTTTCAACCTACACTTCTGACTTTACGTTCTGAAATCATATTACTAAGAGGCTATACTGTATTCCTAACAATAAAAATGTTCAATTTAGAAGCTTTAAAGCAGATTATATTTATCACATCTTCATGAAATATAAAACCATATAATGACAAAAGAACAGAGTATAACAGTGGTGAATACATCCCAGCTAAAGGATCAGAATGTCTGGGTCAAAATCTAGGCTCCGCCACTTACTACAAAGATGAACTTGGGCAAATTACTAAACCTCTCTGGGCTCCAGTCCCCTCATCTATAAAAGCATGGTAACAGTATCAAAATAGCAAAAAGCTGCTGTGCAAGTTAACTGAAATAATGTATACAGTACTGAACTTAGTGTTTGACATGTGCTAAGAGAATATTAAGCTCATCATTATTACCAAGCGGAAGGCTGACATGTTCAAAGACTGAGAGTTCCCATACCAACTCTGTATCTAAACTGACACAGAAACTTGTACAAGTTGCTTAAGTTCTCCCTCAATACAAATCCCCTATCAGTAAAATAAAAATAATAAATCATAGTTTTTGCAGCTTATATGAAATATGAAGTTTTTAGAAGTCCCTATATTTTTAGATAACTAAAAAAAATAGTAATATCCATATATACTTAGCATTAAAAGGCAGCTCTATGTATTTAACCTCTCATAAGAATCCTAGCCATCAACCCGAAGTGAGCAGATCAGCAGTTCTTACCTCAGCTGACAGATGAGAAACTGAAGTGCAGAGAGCTTAAATAATCTGCTGAGGGCCACAGAGCTAGTCAGAGGTAGAACCAGGACTTAAACTCATGGGTTCTTTCCTTGGCAATGCCTCCTGCTTGTTAACTAGCAGCAATTTAATCTCAGAAGCAAATCCTCATCAAATTGTGGAAACGCAAAAACTTTTAATACCAGAAATAACAAGGGAGAACTCACTCAATCAGGATCAAATGCTAGGCATTCAAATAGGAGAATGGAATTTGGAAACTAATACTGCCTTTTCTGTGCAGTTACAGAAATATAGTCTGCAACTCTTGCAGGGAAGGAGTCAGAATTCAGAAGAGCATGCCAGGTATGAAAGTCTGAGCGTCAGGACTTACAACCTAAAGTAAGAACACCTAATTACTTAAGTAAATACACCAACATTTGATGGTTCTTACTGAGCAAAAAAATGTTATGCCTAATCTTTCTTCCTGTTTTCTTATGTCTTATTAGGTTCTTAGCTATATACTTCCATATCACCTCAGCTTCCAATCTGTGCACTGTTGTGTACCAGGCATCACAGCCAACTCACAAGGACACTGTGGAATTGTTTAAATTTTGGAGAGAAATACAATAAAATCAGTTGAACACAAAACAAAAAACTACTCTTATCTGGACCTAACTACGTAAGAAATGGCATTTGTTTTGTCCTAGGAGTGCCATGCCTCTAAGCTTCATCTTGAGTAAGACACTGGCTGTTATGTTAAAATACCCTTCTATTTCCAATTTTCAATGAGTTCCTAATATTATATATTGGGAACGAATGTCTAATTTTATGTAATATCTATTAATATTATATGGTTTTTCACCTTTGAACAAATAACAATATATTAAAAAGTCTAGGTGTAGGTTTTATATTATTTTATTGTTGCTGAAGAGGAATTTCACCTGAAAATTCAGTTTTTAGAAGCGGCAGCTGAAACTCCATTAGAAAAAAAAAAGATCTGTCAAGCAGAATATCAGTACTGACTGAGTCTTCTTTGGAGTTGTAAGGAATCTGTCTTATAAATCATAATTTGGGAGTGAGCTCAAAATCTGCAATTGTCAAACAGAAAGCAATAATGAATAAATGAACATCTTGAAAATAATACCTTCTGAGGGTCAAGTTTGCCCAGGACTACTTCCATGAAATCTTCATCTGAAAGTATGATGGTTGTATCAGCAGAACCTTTTGCAGGGCCTTGGTATACTTTTCCAGAATCATTTTTCAGGTCAATAGCTGGGAAAAATAGGAAGAAACCAATGTGTATCATTTTGTCTTCACAATATGAGGTTAAATAGACCAACCAAAATACAGACATTTTTATAGTTTTCAATTTAGTGTGGTCCTTATTCTAAACTTATTCAATCTATAGATTACACATTATGTTTCATTTAAGAAAATACAGGATACAAAAATACAAGAATACAGAAATCTGGCATAAAGGAGCAGAACTTCCAATTCTGCAGTGGCTCAGCTCATGGTCAGCAACATGTTTCACATGGGAGAATCATCTACCACCAACACCCTGAGTTTACCGTCACCTGTAAGGACACAGTTAATCTTATTGTACAAATAAAGAAATCGTCTGTATTCATTTTCTTTTAGAGGCAAAATTTATATTAAATGTTTTACTGATGATTTTTAGTTCCATATGTATATAATCATCAAGTCTTTGAAAGAGTCCCTATCAATTTCAGTTATACTGGGAAAGTTATACTGGGGAAAGTTATTTCAGTTATAACAGGGAAGCGATGAAGTAACAGCTGAGACTATGGCATTTGAAAACTTGAGGATCTGTGAAGGTCCTGGGATATACATCTTATAAATCACAAAGGGCTACTAAAGGAAAAAGGAGCGGTTTTCATTTATGTTACCTTCTCTTAAGATTAGAAGGTCTTTCCTGACACAGACATTGCTGGTCTTTGTATCTCCTATACTTTCTTAGAGAGAAAATACTTAGGAACTATTTGTTAAATGGATGATTAGAAAAGCATATGAAAGAAGCATCTCTAACAAAAATAAAACAAAATATAATGATAATAACAAAAAAAAAACAGGTTAAAATGAAGACTATTTTAAAAATCACACAAAGAACACAATACTTTTGTGTTATTCCTGCCCAGAATGCATAAACAAAATCTAATGGAAAAAAAACCTAACAAATACAAAAAAAAATGTTCTACAAAATAACTTGCCTCCAGTCTTCAAATATGTCAAGGTCATGAAAAACAGACTGAAGAACTCATCCAGATTAAAGCAGACTAAAGAGACCCAACAATTAAATGCAATATATGATACCGGATTGGACTCTGATAGTTCTTTCTTCAATTTTGTTATTACTATTGTTATTATTATTATTATTTTGCTGAAAAGAACATTATTGGGATAACTGGTGAAATAACTATAAGGTATGTAGATTAGATAATAGTACCATATCAATGTAAATTTCCTGATACTGAGAACTATTTTGTGAATATATAAGACAATGTCTTTGTTCTTAGAAAATGCTAGAAGAATAGCCTTTTCTTTTAGGGATAAAGAGACATCATATTTACAAATTATTCTCAAATGTTTCAGAAAAAAAATACATGTAAGATGAAAAGAAAATAATAAAGAAAATGGGATAAAAATTGTAGCAATCTGGGGAAGCTGAATAAAGGACAGACATACATTCTCTCTGTTATTTTTGTAATTTTTCTGTATTCTGAAATTCTTTTTTTTTTTTTTTTTTGAGTTGGAGTCTCACTCTGTCACCCAGACTGAGTGCAGTGGCCGCTCCCGGCCACCACAGCCTCGACCTGCTGGGCTCCGGCGATCCTTCCGCCTCAGCCTTCCAAATAGCTGGAACTACAGGTGTGA